TCACACCAGGTTGTCAAAGTCTGATCTCGTCAGACCTCAGAAGCTCAGCAGGACCAGGTCTGGTCTGGACTTGGATGGAGACACTGGGAAAATCAGGAGCCACAGGAGGCACCAGAACAAAAACACAAAGACACTTCACGCACATTGCCTAGTGTGAAAGTGGAGTGTGTGTGTGAGTGTTGGTGGGAGGGGCCGATGGTGCAGATCAGCAGCAATAAAAGTTCACCACCACCAGGTCTGGAGTGACTGAATAATGTAAATGTAAAGTGTCTTTGAGACAAATGTCTGTGAAAAACACTAGAAATAAAAAACTTACAGCCTCACACAGACCAGATCCACAGCTCCAAACTCAACCACAGACGTCCACACACCTCCACACTCTCACTGTCTCTGTGGCCCTACAGTCCCGGGTCGTGGAGGATCATGTGAACAGAGTCGAACGTGTGTTCATGTTCATGTTCATGTTCATTGTCATTGTTCATGTTCATGTTCATGTTCATGTTCTTGTTCATGTTCATGTTCATGTTCATGTTCTTGTTCATGTTCATGTTCATGTTCATGTTCTTGTTCTTATAGGAGCAGGAAGAGCACAGGGGACAGAGGTGAGACGTGGAGCTGCACTCAGACAATGAAAGGGCCCGGGCCAGTTCCTGCTCAGGTCTACGTGTGGGTCCAGTCGTCTTCCTGCTCAGGTCTACGTGTGGGTCCAGTCGTCTTCCTGCTCAGGTCTACGTGTGGCTCTGCTCGCTCCCTCGCTCCACTTCCCCTCGCTGGGCTCTGAGGACGTACACTTCCATACAGATTTCCCCTAAAGCCTGTTTCAGCAGAGACGCCGCGGCTTCAGCTTCACGTCACCGAAAAACTTCAGAATCTTTTTATCAGGTGGGACAGGATTTTTATTTTGTCACTGAGAAGTTGAGCTCAGCACAATCCACTCTGAACCTCACACAAGACCGGCTTTAGTCCAGGTCTGGGTCTTTCTAAGCAGCAGGTGAAGCTCAAAGGCACAAAGGCAGAGGTTGGACAGTGTATTTTGTTAAAACACTAAATACTTATATTCAGATTTAAAGGTCCTGTGTTATGTCAAACTGACTCTTCTGAACTTTAGGTCATGTTCTAATGTTCTAATGTTCTAATGTTCTAATGTTCTAATGTTCTAATGTTTTAATGTTCTAATGTTCTAATGTTTTAATGTTCTAATGTTCTAATGTTCTAATGTTCTAATGTTCTAATGTTCCTCGTCTCATTCAGAGCTGGAGTCGTGTTTGTTTCTTTCACACATTTTTAGAGAAACTCTGTATTTTCAGTCTGTTACATCTTTAAAACTGTAAGAGAAAAACTTCACACTCGTCAGTTCTTTGAGGAGGAGTGTTTGAGGAGAGGGAGAAGCTCGAGAACACAGAGAAAGATCGAAAAAAAAAAAAAGATTTTTGTCTATAAACATCTCCAAAGCTCCAAACGCTCTGTTCCACCTCGTGATGTCATCAAGTGAACAGCTCCTTTTCCCTTTAGTTCAGTCGAGATCAAAACTCCAGAGTTAAAATGATCCAGGTGATTCTAGTGAAGGTGTGTGGAGGAGTTTAAAAACACAGTGGAGCACTTCCTGTATCACCACACGATGACATCACAAGGTGGAAGGGAACAGAAAACACAGTGTGAATGAAACAAAACCCATGTGCAGGTGTGAGTGTGACGAGGAAACAGGAGAACATCAGAGGACGTGTTTCTTTAAAGAACTTTGTATCAGAGTAAATTACAAACAGAAGAAAAATCTTTTGTCTCGTTGTTTGTTCTGCGTTTTGTTTGTCGCTGATTTCAGACGAATCGTCACCGATTTTGTCCTGAAGCCGTTTGAAGCTGAAATGACAAGATCCAGTTTCAGACTGTGAGTTTTTTTGGGGGAAAACAACAGTTTGTAGAATAAATGAAAAAGTGAAGCAGAAGCAGAAGCTCAGATAAAAACACAGAGGCTCCAGCTTTAATCCGCTCACTATGTTGGGGCGACGTGAGCGGGTTCTGGGCAGGTTCTGGGCAGGTTCTGGGCAGGTTCTGGGCGGGTTCTGGGCAGGTTCTGGGCGGGTTCTGGGCAGGTTCTGGGCAGGTTCTGGGCAGGTTCTGGGCAGGTTCTGGGCGGGTTCTGGGCAGGTTCTGGGCGGGTTCTGGGCAGGTTCTGGGCGGGTTTCTGGGCAGGTTCTGGGCGGGTTCTGGGCAGGTTCTGGGCGGTTCTGGGCAGGTTCTGGGCGGGTTTCTGGGCGGGTTCTGGGCAGGTTTCTGGTGGGTTCTGGGCAGGTTCTGGTGGTTCTGGGCAGGTTCTGGGCAGGGTTCTGGGCGGGTTTGGGCAGGTTCTGGCGGGTTCTGGGCAGGTTCTGGGCAGGTTCTGGGCAGGTTCTGGGCAGGTTCTGGGCGGGTTCTGGGCTCGTTCACATCTTGGGTCTGGAAGTCATTACCGAGTCGTGTTCTACTTATCCCAGCACCTCTCACAGCTCTGCTCTGCCGTCAG